GGGGGTGGGGATGGTATCAGCTTGTAATCCAAATTTACATAGATATGTAACACATCAAAAGACCTGGTTTTTGAGCTTTCTTGGTCTCAACATGGGACATAGATGTCGCCATTTTGCTCTGAAGGTATTAAACTTGAAGCTGAAAGAGAGCGAAAGAAGTAAATAGAAACATATCACTTGGTGTAGTTTGTTAGATTCACGAAAGAGCTAGGTCTGAAAAGGAGTGGATTTTAGGAGCATAAATGGGTCCTGGCAGATTGCAAGGAAGAGAAATCTTGAAAGAAAGAAAACTAACTAATGTTGGGGAGGGGCGTCATAAACTTGTTGTATCTGTGATGGATTACCATCCTATTATTGTTTGTTAATCAGACCAGCTGCATGGCCATGGTAGCGTTAAATGTCCTCAGTCTGTTGTTTGTTCATGGAGCCCTGCCCAGAAAATCCACGGTATGTCACTTAGATTAGATTGACAGTCTTTTAAAATATGCCTGATTTACAACTTGTCGTCTTTCTTTTTTTGATACAAGGTCAGAAGAGTTAAATGCAATTTTAACTTGCCTGTAGTGTTAGTAGAGACATCCAGGACACCACGTCTCCCTTAGCGCGAGCAGGCCGTGTTCTCACAAGACCAAGCGAGTAGTGTACTTTAATCCATAAGCGTATGTTTGAAATCGAGCTTGTATTGCTCAATGAGGAACACTCCATCGAATTCGCAGAGTTTGGACATACATTCCTGAGTTGCTGATTAGTTATGTAATTATAAAGTACTGTGACGGTATACTGCTGCATGTGGTAACGTTTTCTCGCTCAACCCGACTTTTACGCTAAGTGCATGCGTGGTGTTTTCTTCAACACATCGCATTCAATGGATATTTGTCTTGGCCGACCTGAAGCGATTTAATTTTGGAAACAGTAAACTCTGTTGTTTGTTTGCAGGGTTTGAGAATAGCACTGGAAAAGAAAGTGTAATAGGATTGTTTCTTTACAAGGTTTGTTTAATGTCTTTCAGGTCCTTGTGTTGGGGAAAGTATCTTCTTCGATGATGGGAACGTTCGGTGCTCTTCTAGAAATAATCCTGATATTGTATCCTTTTGAACTTTTTACCAGTTTACAGGTTTAAATGCAAGTTTGAGTGGAGAGATTGAGCAAAGGCAATGCATATATATAGATAGCGCCCACACGGAATAGGCTTAAAAACGACTTCGCTTCAACAGCATAACCTACTGTATTCTTTACAGCGGCGAGTTAAAATCAGAAATGTAAGCCCGTGTTTTACTTTAACCGCCTTTAGTTACTTGATGATTGCGTCCTTGGTAGGATTGTACAGCGTTCCATACTTCGCGCGCCTGCGTCCTGTGGTGCGGGAAACTGCCACAATAAAGGTAAGCATGCCGTGCCAATCGGAGTTTTCGCCCTTCTTGGAGTCAAAAGGCTTCTTTTTAGTTGTAATTGAAGCCCGTGAACTGTATTTTGAAGCAACAATTAAATCAAATTAACTCTTACAGTGCCTCTTCACCCATGGGTATAAGCGTGGGTGCCAACGAATTACCGAAACAATGCTAGGGGGTTGGGAAGCGCTGCTATCTAGGCGAGGTATATTACATGTTCAGGTTCCAATTCTCCTCGTCGCTCTAAGCTTCAGATTTAAGCCGACATGCGCGCTGGCACCGATAGGTTTCTTTCTCCCTCTTTGATC